TTGCTCGGCCGCGCGCCGCGCGTGGGTTGGTTGGATTGGGTGACATATAGAGCCAAATTTAGAGAACCGAAAATAGTTTTTTTTAATTGAGACATCAAGATGATATCCACTAAGCTCCACTAAGTTCGTTCAAGGAGAAGTCGTGAAATTTACTCATCACTTGTTACATGTGTGTGCCGTGATACCATGGTTTCTATTGTTTAGTGGATGAGAGATTGTCCGTAGCCGGTAGCAGACCATGGGCGGAGCTATATCGTAATTAGTGGGTGCGGCCGCACCAAAAATAAATAAAAAACTATGGTAAGAGCCAAATTTTCACCATATATACACCCACATATTGCAAACCCTTACACCCACAAAGACAAACGCACCCCCTTCGTATTTGTCATGGCTCGGCCTCTAAACAAACCCAACACTTGAATAGATCGAGTCTAGGTGAAGCCTAAACAAACCCAACACTTGAATAGATCGAGTCTAGGTGAAGCTATAGGTGCCCATGAAATCTTGCGTTTTTAAGCTTCTAGTAGAGGGCAATGTGATGAATAACTTAGGCTGTCTTCAACAAAAGACCCATCATAAGACCCAAACCTAAAATGGATCTCTAACAGAATACCTATATGGAAGACTTATTTTGAGTGTCACGAGAGGTACAAGCTAAATTTGAGTATCATCTCTCCTGAAGACCCATTTGTAGAAAGGGTTCTCTTTTAGGTCTTGTTGTTGGAGAAGACTAAAAATAAGTATTGAACCCTTTACCTATAGCGCTATTCAAACATGAAATGTGTCTTGTATGTTGGTTAACGGTCGTTGGAGACCGTCTTAGCTTATGTTATTGGAGACAGTCTTAGCGTGTGGCCTGGATCGCCACTATCTGTAGCTATGTCCTTGAATGGTTCATTTGACTGCATTTTTTCTGTTCTTGTGTGCGTATGTTTATTGATTTGACAGTTACGCTTAATCTCAGCATCTCTAATTAAGCTCATCGACGAGGACTAGCTTTGACCTCCTTCATTGTGGGGTCTAGAAAAGAACAATCCTTAGTCCTATAGTCAACAATGGCCTTGCAAATCATCTTATAATCTGTAAGCTGAGTTGGAAAAAAAATTCGTCCTTGAATCAGATAGCACATAATATATCATGTCAGATCACTCGTTACGTTGTTTAGTTTGCATAGCTATTTTAATGGTGGGCCGGATGGTGAACTGGTGATATTGTCACATGGCTCACAATCTTTTTCTATGTTTATTTTGGTTTAGTAGGTGAGGTTGAATAGCAGATGAAACTATGAGAGGCCAACTTTTTGAGGTGCATGGGTTGAAGGCATGGTTGATAAAATGGACCAGCTAATATTCAGCCTGTTCGCTTGATCGTATTTGGCTTATAAGCCATGACTTATCAATCAACGAACAATATTTTTCTCTCACACCAAACCAGCCAACAGTACTTTCAGCCATGGCTTATAAGCCAAATCAACCCAAACGAACAGGGCGATTGCTAGATGCTCAATAAGTTCGTCCACTTTTACTAACCTTGACTATAAGTAAATAAGTGGTGATAAGCGACTATTTTGTTTTTGATTAATAATTACTATACCCAACCACAGAATTGAGCCATTCCATCCACCCACCATATATCGTCTGTTCCACCCAACAATCAACATTGCTCTCAAACAAAATATTCACCTAGTATAAATTTCTCTTAACCAAAATAGAAATACTTTAAGCTTCTACCACACAATAGTTGTGGACAACAAACTCAAACGTCTGAAAATAAAAGGGAAAAAAACTTTCGATCGCCTAAACTTTCATGGTTGTCCAATTGACCCTCTATAGAAACTTTTTTTAAACTATAAAAAAATTAATTTTGGTCCTTCTTAGTTTAAAAGGTTTGTTTTTTTGTTTGAAAGCTCTAGTTTGGTTTTGGTGAATTGATGAAACCCTAAGTGCTAACCTAGTTTATCAAAGTGATCATGACATAGGTAGCACATTCTAAGTGGTGAAGCAAATGAAGATCATGACATGATGATGGTGATGCCATGGTGATAATCGGCTTGGACTTGGAAAAGAAGAAAGAGAAAAACAAAAAGCTTAAGGCAAAGGTATAAGTGGTAGGAGTCATTTTTATTTTGGTGATCAAGACACTTAGCGAGTGTGATCACGTTTAGGTTCGATAGTCGTACTATTAAGAGAGGTGAAACTCGTATCAAAATACGGTTATCAAAGTGCCACTAGATGCTCTAACTCATTGTATATGTATTTAGGATCTAGTGGAGTGCTAACACCCTTGAAAATGATTGTGAAAATATGCTAACACATATGCACAAAGGTGATACACATTGTGTTTAGCACTTGGGAGCAAGGGGTCAAAACTTGACCGGTGGAGTGTCACAGAGTACAGTCAGGGTTTCACAGAGTATACTGGACGTTGTCCCCGTGGGACCGGACGTGTCCGGTGACCAATCCTAGGCGTCAGTCAGTCAGCAGAGACTGACCGGACTCTAAGAAGAAAAGTGACCGGACTCTGGTCGAACACTGTTCAACGTCTGGTCCTGCTGACGTGGCAGCGCATAGAGAAGAGGGTGACTGACCGGACGTTGGGGCGTGTCCGATCGGAGGTGACCGGACGCGTCCGGTCATGAAAAACCGACTCTGGATGCTTACCGGAAGTGACCGGACACCAGGTGTTGGTGCGTCCGGTCCTACACTGTAGCGCGTCCGGCCACAACTTAAGTGCACCGATGACCGTTGAGATCGCGTGGTGGAGATTCAAAAGAGGAGACACATAGCGAGCATCGAGCGACCGGACGCAAGGTTCCAGCGTCCGGTCAGCCCATGTTTTGGTGCTCTGTGAGCCCAGTGGCTCTATTTGTTGGGGGCTCTATTTAAAGGCTTGTGGCGGGCTCTAGCTCTCTCTCTTGGCCATTTGCATTGACATAGCAACCTTGTGAGCTTAGCCAAAGCCCCCTCACTCATCTCCATCATTGATTCACCATCTTTATGAGATTGGGAGAGAATCCAAGTGCATTGCTTGAGTGTTTGCATCTAGAGGTATTTGGTATTCGTGTTTCGCTGCGGGATTCACTTGTTACTTTTGCTGGTTTCCGCCATATAGACGGCTTGGAGCAGCGAGGATCATCGAGCGGAGGTTGGTGATTGTCTCCGGCTCCGATCGTGGTGATTGTGAGGGGTTCTTGACCTTTCCCCGGCGGAGAGCCAAAGGCGCGTGAACCTCCAAGTGGGTGAATCGCCACAACGAGGACTAGCTCGCCGGCAAACAAGTGAACCTCGGTAAAAATCATTGTGTCATTATTTGATTTCGAGGTGATTGGTCTTCTTTGATATTCATTTTTGTGATTGATTGGTTAATTCCTCGACTCGGCGGTACAACCATCTTGCTCTCTCTCTTTATATTACTGCAAACTAGTTGTCAAGCTCTTTAGTGTAACCAGTTATGAGAGCTTGTTAGTTTGACTAGTGTGGCTCTTTAGTTAGCCTTTGAGAGCACATTAACTTAGTGTAATGACATAGCCATTGTATGGATAAAGACTATAGAAATTAGAATTGTGGTAGGTGGCTTGCATTTCTAGTAGGCTAGCGCAACACTCGCTTCGCCTCATATTTATCTAACCGGTTTGCTAAGTGTTGTTGTAGAATTTTTAATTGGCTATTCACCCCCCTCTAGCCATTAGGATCTTTCAACATCCTGGGCAGACGACAATTTTTTTTTCCAACTAGCTCCATGTTAGCCGCGAGATGGGTAAATCAGACTATGTTGATAGTTCAAGGATAAATCAGACTTCAAATATTTGGATATTTTTTGGAAAAAAATCTTAAAATCTACTTTAATATTAAAAAAATAGAAAAATATTGTTTTAGCTCGAAAAAAATATGAAACCAACTTAAAATCTTTCCTAAAATCATGTTCTATTTTATGATGCCTAGCTTGGAATTATCTGAATCTTCTATAGACTCCTTTTGTTGGTTATTTGCTAGTAGATTCTTTTCATTATCAATTACAACTGGTCAATGAGGATGACTTGGACTATGTAAAAGTTCCAAGTAACTTTGACAACAACAGAAGTGTAATATAACCACCTCATGATTGATCCTATTTGGTATAAACACAACTGACACTTGATCATGTTAGCGTTATGATCCTGTGATGATCATGTTAGAATAGAAAGCATGGAGTGCTGTTGTCAAAATCACTTTTCTTCTACATAGTCGTTGTCGTTAATATCTACTAATTATGATAGATAACTAGAGCATTTATCAGTAAAATAAACACAAAAACGGAACTATAAAAGGTGAAACTAACTCACCACAAAAACGGGATTAATTATGATAGATAACTAGAAGATAAGGATGGTTTAACTCATACTTTTTTTTGTAAACCAAATTTTCTATAATTTTTCTAAGGTGAAACCATACTTTAGGATTTTGAATTGCATAATTTGTCTAAAAATACCAGGATAATTTTCTGAAGAGCTATTGTAGTTTGATTTGACCTTTGAACTGTCAACATAATTTGGTTTTCTCTCCTGGCGGCTAATGATTGTGGAGTTACATTGGACCAAACCGTTGTTTAAGCCACTATGGTAAAAAAACAGATGGTTTTCAAAGTTGAGAAATAACTAAAATCCAGTTTTTATAAATGATGCCGGAAAATCAAACATGCGAAAAAGTCAAGGGGATCAAAAAAGGAAATTTTCCAAAATAAAAAGGTTCTAACCCAGAAAATTCCCCATTTTGCAACGTATCCACCACAACAAGTTGGGCTCGATCTGAGACGAGACATTAGGTTTGGCCCGGTAAGTTAACTTTTCGGCCCACCTCAATCTACACCGTTGTCCCTGCTGAAAGGCCCAACTGAGAAAGACAGCCAGTAGAACCGTTGCCTCTCGCCTGCATCCTAGTCCAGCGGCGGCCGCATCCGGGCAGCTCCGGCGGTTCCCCGCCGCCGTCCTCCGACTATCCCCGACTGCGCTAGGGCTCCATCTCATGGGGGCGTCCGAATCTCTCCTGTCTAGGCAGCAGCTGCAGCAGCCGCGGCCGCAATGGGCCGATGAGATCACGACGGTGATCGAGGGCCAGCGCGACGCCGCCGACGCCGATCCCCTCGTCCGCCGCATCCGGTCTCTCACCATAGTAAGGCCTGAACTCTCTTGTCTCCTGACTCTCCCTGCTGATGCCCATGACGAGATGCCCTTCATACTAACGCTTTTGACTTCGGTTGGGGTTATGCTGTTGGGGATTTGTAGGCTCCACCGCTATTGAGCTCTCAATCTGAAGCGGAGGCAGAGAGCAGCCTCACCGATATCCTCGTCCGGAAGCCCTCTATCTCCTCAGCCACCTCTGGTGAGTGGCTGCCAGCCAGGATGCTATTTTGGTTAGTTTGTGTATTACTATGCAGGCGAGATTCTGCATAGTGGTGTCTGGGAATGTATATAATTGACTAATTGGAAACACGCTGTACTCGAAATAGTATACATCAAACATTGTTGCATTTCCATTATTCTTGTTGAAGCTTACAGTGTCGTGTTAATTTATTTGCAGGAAATCTGAACCCAAATGTCCTAGCTGAGCTTTTCTCCATGTACCGCGAATGGCAAGAAGAGAATGCCAAGAAAATTAGCCGAAAACAGGTAGGTGGAATTCTTGTAAGAGCTCTCTCTATCAATTACTGAGGGGAGTCAACCAGGATATATGATATTGTGGTTCGAGTTACTAGTTTAAGGCCTACAGTATGCTATCCTATTGTTTTGAATATAAAGCACATCGCTTCATTTGTTAGCAGTTATTCTCCCCGTTGATATTTCATCTTGATGGCAAGGTGAATAATATCGAGAAATCGCACTGTCAGTTACCAAAGGCCTTTTTGTTCTATGTGCTCTGTGTAACTGTGTTGCTTGTTCTATTTGTCACCATATAAACAAGATCTTGTGAATTAATGTGAAACTGGTTTTGTGGTAGTAAATATCAACTTGGTGGGCAAAAACCAGTTGTTGTTTCAGTCTAGACATTGAATTCTGAGTTTAGTTGCATGAATTTTGGAAGAGACATTTTTATGAATAGTTGTCACTTTTTTTTCCTGAGTTTCCTTTTAGTTTCATTGTTTTGACCAATATTGGTCATAGCGTATTCCTGTCCTTGTTGAACTGCAGTGCTTACAGTAGATATGCAGCTCTGCACTTAAAGTACGACAGAGAAATTAACTAATGAATTCTAAATAAGGGCGTACCCAGTGCAGAGAGCTCCCGCCTGTGCGGGGTCTGGGGAAGGGTGTCAGTGGCAAGCCTTACCCTCGCCTGTGCAATGCGAGGAGACTAATGAATTCTAAATGTTCGAGGTAAATATGCAAGCAGTGCTTGGATACTTACAGAACATGTCTTTGAAGTCTGACCTAGGAGATTTAGCATTGCTACCGTTAGAGCTTAGCAACTCCTTTGTTTTTGTTTGTCGGCTAGTTTATGATAAGGAGCTCTAATATGGAATATCTTGTTGCAGGAGGAGATAGAAAACAAGATAGAAACAGCTGATGCATTGGCAGTTAAGCTTCTCCAGCGGTTCAACTATTCTCTTACTTCCATGAGATCCACCTCCTACAATCTTTCTGAAGGTAATGATGCAATTTTCTTTCTTAAGTAGGTCCTCATCTGTAAAGAAGCTGTCCACCACATTTTTTGGGCATTTTAGCTCTAGCCTAATTGAGGCAAGCGAGCAGTGTTTAGTTTGTGCAGCTATTACTACCTGTTCCGAATGGTCATGGGAGTATCCGGATTACGTGCTGACATTCCCCTCTTCAATATCGCAGTTCATCCATTGCAGATTGAAGTTGGTGAGTTGAAGGGCAGGTTAACTGAAGTTATAAGCAACTGCGATGCACTGTGCAAGAAAATTGCTGCAGAAGGACCGGAAAGCATACGATCATCTGTTCAACCTTTCATGCCTGCTAGAGTGGAGGCAGAAGGTAGCGGTTCACTTGACCCAAAACAAGAGTCCTGAATTGTACAATCTAACTGCTGACAGCATGTGCAATGAAACTTCAGGGGATGATTAGTAGGTCCTGGATAAATACAGTATACTTACTGTACATGTTTCTAGGTAGGTCAAATGTCTGAAATTCTGTCTGTCTTGTTGTAGCGTCTCAAGTCATGACCGTGTCTGTGCACAGCACCATCTTTGCGTGCGTGCGGCACTAATTTTAACATTAACATCAGGTGAAGCTCGGACTGTTTGACCTCCCGCACTGATTTGCACATGTATGGATGGCTCTAGAAAACCTTACTGCTGACCCTGGAACACAAAAATGGTGCTTTGCTCGTTCTTAATGTCAAATGTAGATTGTTTTTTGAAGTAGCCACTCCAAGTGGCAGTATAATACGGAGTAGTATGTTATAGTGAGCGTGGACTCTGCAGGAGCGCGTTAACACAAGTAGCTTTCTTGTTCCGAAATGTGAACCCAAGCTGGAACGGTGTTGTACTAGCTAGTCCACCGCAGGGCGTAGAACGGGCGCGCGGAGCTAAAGGCAGAACGCGCCGGCCGGGTGATTCATGCCCCAGGCGGCCAGTCTGCCATGGTGGCCCGTGCCAAGAAGTGCAGGTGCGTTGAGCACATCGCTGGCGTACCCAGTTTATTGTACTTTATATACTCCATATCAGAGAGATAAATAAAGAACCCTCTTTCATCCTCATTTCTCTATGTTTATATTGTGCATTGTGTGCCCATGCACCGAACAATAAAACGTTTTCTCGACACGTTATCAATACGAGTTCTATCAAGCTGAAATGTAAGAGATGAGACATCAACCTCTATCGATACGTTATTCTCTTGAATTACTTAGATTAGCACAAGAATGCCTATTACGTGTACGAGAACATCATTTGTGGATGCCTGGAGCACCACGGTCGGGTTCGAGCACGGTTTTGTGCCATAGCTCCTAGGTTGCTTGAAGAAACCTTGCTGCGAGCAGCGTATAGAACCTCCCGCGTGGTCGGCCCTAAAGTGTTGTTCTCCCTTACCGGCTTTGAAGTTCTGAGTTCATCTATATATTCAGCCCAAGTGCCTAACACCAACGTCATCGGCATCTCGGCAATGACGTTGTCGCCGTCCAAGCGCTAGAGATGGACGAGGTGCCCAAAGCACAAAAAACGATGAACTGATGTCATCTGCATGCACGGTCCAATTTTTTTATTGCGAACGTGCTTAGCACGATGCACGGTCCAAAATGTCATTGCAGAGCATGGAGAGGAAGAAACCCCACTCATATAACGCACTAAGCGTCCATAAACTCACGACCACGAAGTGTTGCTATGCTCAACCAACATCAGGTAAAAAGTTGTTGATATTTTGGGGCACTGCCTCACTTTTAGCCTACCTCTGTTATCAAAAGTCTTCTCTCTTAAAATCGTTTAAAAGGCCTCTCCGTCTAGTATCTTGGCTAAACTTAACATCTGGCATCTCCACAAGGCTATTTCTATTCTTAATTACGTTTTCAAGAAATTGATCTTCAAGGCATATAACCGCCGTCCCTAGGAATAGGCATAGGCCAGTGATTGACCGAACGAACCCCATTGTGTTAGTACATGAGAGCATCTCTGACAGTTCTTTTTAAACTCACTCTTTAAATTAATCATTTGGAGGGTCATTTGAATAAAAACAGTCTCTAGATCTTTCCACGCTCTAATAGCTTCTCTATATCTTCCGCACACTTTGAAAAGTGAGTCCCTCTCTCTATCTTTGTCTAGCAAAAAACTAGGAATAGAAAAAAGACTCTGGTTGGTTAAAGCCTCAGCTACACATATAAGTTCATGGAGCAATAATCACTTGGCTTAGAAATCAGACTCAACTTACATATGAAATATACTTTGGGCCTCTGTAGGCACCCCTACCGAATACGAAATATGGCATGAGAAGTTAATTGCTCCCAATCACCCACACTTGATAATATAGATACCCGGATTGAAATTCAGAGTAAAGAACCGAGTAAATGAAATCATTGTAATTTGCAGGGAAATAACAACTAGCGAGTACAAGTACGACTAGTGAGCAAATCTTCCGCCATAATTGGACGCTTGTCAGCGTCAGGTTGAGTGTTCAAAACCCCACCTCATTGGCTGCTGGCCTGCTGCAACTGTCAGCTTGCAATCACCACCAGCAACCCTGTGTTCATTGATGCATACTGTATGTCTGGTGTTCACTGAAGCATTTCAGAACACTTACGACATTTGCTGCAACATAAATGATTTATTAGCCATTACAAAACTAACTCAACACCCGTTCAAGTTCCGGCGGCTCACCTCCGCCTCCCACGTCATGCCACCGCCCCCCCCCCCCCGCGCCGTTTCATCTGCCTCCGCCCCTACCCGACGCTACGCTCAACGCAGCGGCGGCCAAGAATGCCTCAGTAGCGGCCACCGCGGTCGTGGTGCTGCGGTATTTGGAGTACTTTCTTCACCCAAATCTCTATTCTTATTTAGGCCCCGTTCGCTTGGCTGAAATTGGCTGAAAAAACAAGCCAAAGTTGAATTGTTGTGAGAGGAAAACACTGTTCCGACTGAAAAAAAAGCCGAACAAGCTGGCTTTTAAGGTAAGTCGAACGGGGCCTTAGAGTTGCTCTAAGCAACTCTTCAACCGAGCTTGGTCCAACTTACATAGGGCCCCTTTGTGTCACGTAACCGAGTTTGCATGGTAACAATTTATTTGGCACATCTTAGACATGGTTTGACAAGAAAAATGAAGCAATAGCAGGTGTGTCAAAACTCAAAAGTATTGCAGGCCATAGTTGTGGCAGAGAAACAAGTGTACCAACAGTCTAAAAACTATAGGGGCTGCTTGGTTCCTTTGCTGGACACTGTTACACCTTGCCCAGCGAGCATGGCGAGCCAACGTGCATGTTTGGTTTCCTCACTTGACCACCTCGGGAACCATGTGAGCGAGATTTCCCTCGCTAGCTAGGTGAGATAGCCAAATTGGCTCGCTGGCTCGGGCAAGCTTCTCGCAGCTGAGGCCAACGCAGCAAGGCAGGCGAGGCAAAACCGGCGCAGCCCCTATCTCTACGATCAGAAATGCTTGCCGCATCACCACCACTTATCATCAACAGTACAAACCAACAAGCAGCAACAGCTGCATCCATTGATGCGGAAATGCAGCCGAGCAAGACCTTATGATGCACATAAACTACGGTGTGACAATGGCCAAGGCCATGCGTGAGCAGAACTAAGCTGAAAAACGGCCACAACCCCCAACGATACCGATACATGCATGCAAGGTTTGAAGGCTAACGCCGCCGCCCCGTTCGACTTACCGTTTGGCCCTCTTTTTTTTTTTAGTCGGAACAGTATTTTTCTCTTACAACGATTCAGCCAGAACAGTATTTTTCAGCCAATTTTAGCCAAAATTCAGCGAGCCGAATGGAGCCAGCCCGTCACGTTCGCGCACGGCCGCAACACCAACAGCATGCACTCCAGTTGCCGCCTGTATCGAGCAACCAACGGTCTTCGCAGCCTATTGAAGCATCCAGAATCGGGTCACTTGACACTTACAATTTGGTTTTCATATGGATTGTGAGCTGGCTATATGTACTATGGGGTTTTAAATCTTAATCATAACTGATCCGATCCATCAGAAATTAACTTAACGAGCATTATATATGCAAAATGCTGCAAACCTGTAACACTAAGGAGGTACACTGTTTGCTGTCCATGACATGTAAAGTTTCTCGGCGGCACAGTATTTAATGCAGTAGCAGGTGTGTCTTACTTGATCTTCAGTTCAGTCGATCGCATATCCTTCATATTTATAGGCTAAGCTGCGGCATGCAGGTTGCAGGCGCACACTGCAATACTGCAGTCTGCATGGTAGCGTGGCTTAATCAATTGTGCCAGAGGCCATGAGCCCCATGCTCCGGCCGGGCATAGAACATCGCCGGCGTTGCTCCCACGAGGCGTGCGTCGACGTAGAGCGCGGGGGCGTTGGGCAGCGCCGGGTGGAACCCATCCATGACCGCGAACTGCATCTCCTCCGACGGCTTCCAGTGCCGCTTCCGCTGGTTGATGAACCAGTTGTTGATCTGCTTCTGCTCCAGCCCCGTCGACTCCGCCAGTGCGATCTTCTCCATCTCCTGCGCATGCATGCATGCAACAATGGCGCGGCACCACGGTACCGCCGCTCCATCATCCATCTCACCCCCATATATGTATGTGCACACGAGTAGTATATAGCGTGGCTCGGAATTTCCATGCATGCATGCAACCATTTAGCTATATATGTGTGCCTGTGTAATTGCGTATGCGTACCGAGGGGTAGGGCCATCGATAGTGCAGCTCCCACCAGCTGAGCAGCTTCTGCCGGGCCTCCTTGGGGAGCTTGCCTTTCTTCCTCTTCTTGCACAGCTCCTTTCTCAGGTTGCCCAAACACCCGCTGTATTTCCTGAGGAGCTGCTTCTTGAGCTCCTTGTCATCGGAGCAAGGGTCGATGCCGAGGGCTGCTTCTGCCTCCATGCCGCCGCTGCCTTCTTCTTGGTCATCGTCGGACATATCTACTCCAGTTTCATCTTCTGGTACAGCCAAATGTTAAATAGCATTTACTTAGGTTTAGGCCTCACATGAACAATAATCAACGCACTGGCGGAATGATTACAGTGGCATTAATGCATCAATGAGCGAATTAACACAAACACTAAGAACAGTGGCACAAATGTTTACATCAGTCTTTTTTGCCTATGGCTCACAGAGAACTATTGAGGAGAGAATAGAGATACAAGTTGACTACCCCTAGCTCTAGTTAATTACTCCCCCGATATAAGTCGCTTTGACTTTTCTAGTACATAGTTTTTGCTATGCATCTAGACATACGTTATATCTAGATACATAGCAAAATTGATGTACCAAAAAAGTCACAACACATTATAATTTGAAACGGGAGGGATAGTACATACTCTACTCACATGTCACATCTCCCAACATGGATCTAAATAAACATTATGACTTGAAAGGGCATACCCAATGCAGAGAGCTCCCGCTCTGTGCGGGGTCTTGAGAAGGGTGTTAGTGGCAAGCCTTACCCTCACCTGTGCAATGCGAGGAGACCGCGACTCGAACCCGGGACCTTCCGGTCACAGGCGGTAAGACTCTACCACTTGCACCAAGCCCGCCCTTCAAACATTATGACTTGAACCCATAGAAAATTAGGAGAACTAGCGGTATGTAGTTTAGTAACTGGACATGTCATCTAATATCAATCTATTGTGCTATCTATTAGTGACATGTATATTTCTTATCGATAATAATATAATAGTAACTAACTACGCTATTGGAGATGCTCTCCATGGTAGTGCCTAACAAGCATTACAAACACGCACACGTGTATATATAATTATATATAGCTTGTATAGTAGACTTGTTGGCTAGGTCTTAAGGGCATGCATTTGGCACCTAACCTTGACTCATTAAAGATTAGGCAGAAACAATTTCACCTTGCCTATAAGAACTCTGCCTGGCCCACCTGTCATGGAAACATTTTTTTTTGCCAAATTTATCCTAAGGTTAGAAAAATTTCTTGCCACAAAAGTGTGGCAAGACTAACCTTTGGTAAAGTTTTATGCCGAACTTAGTTATCACAAACCAGACATGCCTAATCAGACACCAGCACATCAACTTGATCTCTTTGTAACTATCCTTCTGTAGAATGCATGATACAAACGACTACACTGCAGATGCTTAGTCAAGTTTTTAGTCAGTAATACTTTCCAATAAATTGCTTAGAATATAGTTCTTTACTATACACAGAAAGCCCCTCCCAATAAGTTCACCATAAGAGTAGCTTGCTTCTTTCTCAGGTGCCGAGTTAAAATGGAGGCATATATAGATGTTATATGTTGAACTCTGAAACCTTTTTGGAAAATAATACGTTATTAGAAGTAATATACTCCTAGTTAGACTTGTAAGAATCATTGGCACATATGCATTAATTAATTTGAATATACTAATTTCCTTGTTTCGGTCATACAAGAAGGGATCGAGTTTAGAATGATGATATACGTGATAGATTAGGGGTAGCACCAATTGAAGAAAAGCTTGTCCAACACCGGTTGAGATGGTTTGGACATGTCCGACGGAGACCTCCAGAGGCACCGGTGCGTAGTGGAGAGAGGCAGAGGAAGACCGAAGCTGACTTGGATAGATGCAATAAAAGGAGACTTCAAATGATGGAATATACCCAAAGACTTAGCCTTAAATAGGAGTGCTTGGAAAACAGCTATTCACGTGCCTGAACCTTGATTGCTTCTGCTGGGTTTCAACTCTAGCCTACCCCAACTTGTTTGGGACTTAAAGGCTTTGTTGTTGTTGTTGTATACTAATTTCCTTGTTTATGAGATATCCTAAGTTGGAAGATCAGCTTACATGGTTATGTTTTTAACAAATACTAGGAGAACACCCCACGTGCTGCCGCGAGACCTTAAAAATAAGATGTTGCATGTATGGGATACTACGTGTTACTGCATCGGATTTGGTCAAAACTAGGCAAGCTTATAGAAAAATCTAATAGATATTATAGCGAATCATTGGAAAATGGGGTGGCCAAACAAATATAGTATGGTTTATATGTTGACAGATTGAAAATAGTAATTATATTTATGGGGGATGATGTGGCACTTAGTCGGGATGTGGATTGCTTCCATCGGGCAGGGACGAATGTAGCCATGTGTATCTGTTATAAATTAAAAAAAAAATCTATGTTATGTAATGAAGTTAACCTTGATGATCCCGATGATCTTTTTGGCTAGAATTGCCCCTGGGGAAAAGTAACTGTACTTAGTGGGAGGATGTTGTGATACTTAATAAGATTGAAAAATGGGTTTGCTTTTATTGATATATAGATATAGATTCCAATAAGAGGTCCCAATAATCCAGCCTACATTATTGCCATGTACCGAGGCTGATTTTACACTAAACAAGCTAAGCAATACAAACAAGTTATTTATATTATTTATGTATACAGTACAACTGTAATTGATAAAAAATGAAAGCAGAATAAAGATCCTTTGTTACTTATATAACCATGTTAGTGCTTCGTTGTTTCCCATTCAAATTTCAAAAATATTAGAGAAAATTTCCTATTTGACATCAGAAAAAAGTATAGTTTTCTTATTTGGCACTTAAACTCAAATTATTTCGTATTTGTCCCCGTCTCAAGTTTTTCTTTCTTATTTGACACTTCCGTTAATTCCGTGAGGAAACACCGTTAAATCTCCTAGTGAGGCAATGGGAAAAGACTGAAATACCCTTTAAGCAAAGGGAAGGGGCAGCCAGCACGGGCTCTGAGGCTGGGCGCGGCTACGACCAATGCGCCCAGGTCCGAGCCAGCAAGGCTGCTGCACTAGTACAGAAATGATTTTTTAGAGGCGCCTCCCTTTTCTAACAGAAGCGGTTATCTTAGCACGCCGTCACTAACCTTCGCGGGAGGCACTGTAGCTATACAACCGTTGCTAGAAATCAATTTTTAGAGGCGATTCCATTAAGAAATCCGCCCCTAAAAATGAAATGTTATTTTCAAGGACGGTTGCTTGTGTCAACCGTCTCTGAAAATGAGTGATTTTTAGAGGCGGTTCTCTTAAGACAACCGACTAAGTCAACCGTCCTTAAAAATAGTTGCAGCACAAATAAATTCATTTCTTTTTTAAATGAAGTCGGATGAAGACAAACTTTATATCAAAATTGTAGAGCTCGACGAGATCTAAATCTTTGTAGATGATAAAAATTTTTTTGAGATCATTTATGGTTCCAAATATATAAATTAGTCTCAGATTTTGAATTTTAAATTTTTGAATTTTTCAATTGACCTTGGATGGAGAAATGTTCTATATCAAAGTTGTAGTGCTCGACGAGATTTAAAACTTTGTAGTTGAAAGTTTTCTCATTTAAGATTGTTTATGAGTTAAAATATTGATTACAAGATTCGTACATATTAGTACAAATGGACAGCATCATAGAACTAGACACAAGTGATTGTGTGGTGCAGTGGTAGGGGAGGGATCGCGCGAGGGAGAAGTTGTGGGTTTGAATCCTAGGTGTCGGCACTTATATTCAAAACAAGTGAAAAATAAATCCTGTGAGTGAAAAATAAATCCTGTGAGTTGTGGCTGATCCTCAGCCCTTCGGGCTCCATTAGAAATATTTGTTTCTTATTTTTATTAGACTCTAAATGATTATTAAAAAATTTTGAAAATTATTTTTAGCGACTGTTGACTTAAGTCAGCCTCCTCCGAAAATCGATTTTCAGAGTCGGTTGTCTTACGAGAACCGCCTCTGAAAATCACTTATTTTTACAATCGTTGGCATAGTAGCGGTTTTAAAATCGTCTCTGAAGATCACTTTTGACCGTCTCTAAAAATATTTTCTGTACCAGTGCTGTGGCCAAGCCCGGCACGGCGAAGGCTGCTGTGAAGCCGCTGTTAGCCTGTGCGTGCTAAAAGAAAGTAAGCGAGCCAGTTACTTGAAGATGCGTGTCCATACATTGTTGCCTCGATGCTTTGATCACACGACGAAGAACAGAAAAGCTAGCGTGTGTACATGAGCTAGTGGAGACGTGTGTGCAGGCTCACGTGTCATCGTCAAGAATCAGAAAATAAATGAAGAAGCTAGATATCATGCATGCGATACGTAACTAAACTAAAAAATGTGCTGAGATAGTTCTATTTTATTGTTATGTATAATGTACCTAAATGATTGATATTGAACTCAACATATTTAAAAGTAATTATAAGATTACGCTCCTTCCTTTATTTTATAGAAGCAATTGAAAAAGGAAAACATAACATTTGAAAGTAAAAACGTCCAAATAAGATAGCAATAACCAGCATGTTAATAACTGGGAAGAAAAACGCCAGGGGTAAAATGGTCTTTTTCTCTAGCACTTAACACCGTTATAACTCCAAACTAACGGAAGTGTCAAATAGAAATGAAAAACTTGAGATGAGGACAGATAGGAAAGAATTTAAGTTTGGGTGCCAAATAAGAAAGTTGTACTTTTTCTAGTGTCAAATAGGAAATTTTCTCAAAATATTATTATGCACCTAGTAATCGCCCTACATGACTATAGATTTGTTAACATGTGAAATAACAGTGGGACAAGAGACGCTGAGATCTTATATGTTGAGCCTTAATGCCCGGCACACACTTGTAAAACAAGAATCTCTAGAACATAGAACATTTAAAATATAGGAATAGAAAAAAAAACAGCATTTGAGAGTTACATGTCACTCGTAGTCTTTACAGACATTTGGATACAGCAGAGGAATTGCAAACGCATGAAAGTTTCTGAAAAAGAATTTGAATATAGAACAGGAGAAACACATGAATTAGAAAGAGAAGACATAAATATAAAGGAAGTTTTCAAGAGATTGGGCCTCATATTAGATTTCCTCTAAAATTCCAATTGATTGAAAAATTCCTTAAGAATTTTGTAGAATTTTAGGATGGCGGATATCATTTGTTCAAAACGGTCACATATGGGGAAAAAAATCCTATATGTCATCAAATTTTTCTATCTCTTTAGTTTTTGATGATGCACTTATTCCACTATTCTATCTGATGACCTAGGTCATCAAATTAATTAGATGATTTTATGATAGCTATCTAGCGAAGATAAAAATCCACCGGTTGCATGAGCTGCTCTTTTGACATTTTTAAGAGGGAAGAACAGTTATTTGGACACTCCAGTTAAATAGCACTACTGTCAAGTCCCAGTAACAATCCAAGCACAGGATTTGCCCCAAAGGGCAGCCAGCTTCTTCACGTTTATAATCAGAAAAAAGCAAAACTTTAACGTCAGGACCAGTATATGAGACCAGACATGTGCGCGAGACGGACTATACATAGCCTATATATAGCTAGCATGTAGACTAGTGATGCCCTGTTCATCACTTTGGTACGCTACGAAGTACTCCGTCCGAATTACTACGAAAAATAAAAGTCTCATTTCTGGAGAAATCAAACTCTAAAATTGAATTCTTTTAAAAAATTATATTGATATTTGTACCTTTTAAAAATATATTTATTATAAAATAAATTTCATAATTTGTATAATGATACTGATTACGGAACATAAGTATTAGTACTTTTATATATGTTAAATCAAACATAAGATTATTTTCATTCTGAATGGAAGGAGTAGTACTGCTGCACCCTAAGAGATTGGTAGGAGTAAATAGCAAGTGCTACCTCCATCTGAGAACAATACCATTCTAGCTTTGGACTAAGTTAAACTAGAAAAGACTATCAACATTTGTATCTCTAAATAGGTTTATTATAAATATATATATATATTCTATTATTCATAAAAATCATCTAATTTGGTTAAATTTAAGATTTATATGGACTCAAAAAATGAGAATGATTTTTTTTTTTACTGAGGGAGTACTCCAAGATATAGTGTCACATAGACCTAGGCAACAAATTGACATATACTCCATTCTGATCGTTACGGGAGCGTCGTGACTTTTTTCTTTAACTCGTGGGCGTCGTGACTTGAGAAACGCATAGCTTATGTACTTTGTGCTAGGAGTATCGCTTTGTTAGCAATATGAAAAAAAAGGAAAACGTTGTGCTAGCATGTAGTCCTAGGCCTTGTTGTTTAGATACCATCCAAATTTCAAGTTTTTTCACTCTCTCTCCATCACATCAATTTTTAGCCGCTTGCATGAAGTATTAAATATAAGTAAAAACAATAACTAATTACACAGTTTAGTTGGAAATCACGAGATGAATCTTTTAAGCCTAGTTGATCCACGATTGGACAATATTTGCCAAATAAAACGAAAGTGATACTATTCATCAGGTTCAAAATATTTGCAAAGTGAATGAGGCCCTAGTCTTCACAAGAACAAACACTCTGACAATCTCGCTTCATGAAAAGACAAGGAAAATCTGTTAATCTACGGCTACTGTGGTGACTATTTTGCTGATATGACGAGGTAATTAATATGGACTTAACCGGTGATTGATTGACGGATTTAGACAGTTAACGGGTAAAGCTGAAGGTTAATCACCTGCAGCTGAAGAGATGAGAGCTCCCATGGGTGGCCCGGTGTTGGTAATGGAGTTGAGCTGCAACTCCACCGTCGTCAGGAACTCCTTGGCCTCCCGGAGCGGCCGGGTCAGCTCCTCCTTCCACGCCACAAGCAGCTCGCAGTACGACTCCTGATGTCACAATACAAAACTTTCACATATATATATATATATATATATATATATATAACCGAATAAACACTAGCTATTATTAGCTTCTTCAAGATCCCGGATCCTCATATAGGGCATATGCATGATCCCAGGGACGACGAGAGTGTGTCATCTGTCTCATCGTGTACAAGCATGCATGCATGTTTGGTACTCCACCATGAACTGGTCGAGCTCTGGCTCCGGCCTTGTATTGTGCGCGTCGCCCGCGGCTGCACGCTGCCATGCCTCGCGCTCCCTCGCCGCCGCCGAGATCTCCTCGGCCGCTTCCGCCGGGCAGCCGACCTGAGTAAGGTGAACACGTGCAACAGGAATGAATTGAACACACGTAATCTACGAAGGACAGCAACGATGCAACAAGAATAATGAACATGTGCATGCGCGTTAAAGTTGAAGCTAAGGGTCATCGATGGGCGCGCGTGCCTTGTGGCAGTCCAAGAAGGCGGTGAGCAGGCGGTGGTAGCGAGGGTGGGAGACGATCTTGGCCTTCATGGGATCTAGATCAGCAACGCGGCCGCCATGATCACCGACGCTAGACGCATGGATCATTGGTGCAAGTGCAACACCTTGAGCTCGGGCTGCTTCACCGCCGGCAGCTGAGCTGCTTGGGACGGTGTAGACTTGCACGGAGACTTTAGAAGAGGACGGAAATGATGGCGCCGTGGGCCGCCTGGCAGCACCTGGGTGGCCGCGGCCTCCAAGATCCGAGAGATCCTCCATCGTCAGTAATTAGCTAGCTAGGTTTCGTGATCTGGGTAACGAAGACGGCCGGAGAGGAGAAAGAAAAGGGCTAGGTAGCTAGCTAGGGCTAATAAGCATGAGAGATTTGCTTGCTTCGGCTTTGAGATCTTTTGCAGTAGTACTACAGTATAGTAAAGAGGAATTTGGGGATAAATAATACTATGAGGGGAATAGGAACAGTGGGTGGAGACGGAAAGGAACATGAGGTCCACACAGTGGCCGTGCGATTCCGCATAGAGCTAGCGTAGCTGCGTAGGGTAGGAGTGTGAAGTAGGGAAAAGAAAGGACAGGCGAGGTCTGGTGGCCGTCATGTCCGACGTCAAATCGGGAAAAAAGCCGGAGAGAGACTAGGGCCTTGTTTAGTCCCTTCAAAGTTCCAAGTTTTTTCACTCTTTCTTCATCGTATCAATTTTTGGACGTTTGCATGGAGCATTAAATGTAGGTAAAAAAAATAACTAATTACACAGTTTAGTTGGAAATTACGAGATAAATCTTTTGAGCCTAGTTGGTCCATGATTAGATAAAGTTTACCAAATAAGACGAAAGTGATACTATTTATCGGTTTAAAATTTTTCTCAATCTAAACGAGGCCTAGTGTGAGTTTTCACGGCGACTGTTTTCATGGCCAAATGTGTGCTGCTTGGCTTACGCGTGCTGTCGACTTGAGCAGTGTATGCACGGGTGTGATTGCTGTGTTTTGGACGTGCTGACAGCGCGACGGCCTGTTTAGACTTTCAAAATGATTATTCGTAGCAGTTGGATACGCTAGTCTTTTTCTACTCCCTCCGTAGCTAATTATAGCTAGATTTATAAAAAATATTATAAACATTTATATCTCTTAACGTTTATTAAAAAAACATAGTGCACAATAATATTTATTATGGAGTATAAATATTACTATTTTCTTTTATATATAGTTAAACTAAAAAAGATTTGACTCATTGAAAAACAAGATGCACATTTATTTACATGTTTTATTGTTTAGCGGTATGATATCCCTTTGCAATAGTTGTGATCCTTGTTACACGATCTCTGTTGACAAGAAATTTTCTACTCTTGATAAATTATAAGTCGTTTTGACATTTTTATCTACGTGTAGCTTTTGTTATATATTTGGGTGTTAGGGGTCACATATAACTGAGTTGGAATTGGGGAGAAACTTAGCAAAGAATTTCGGGAAGAACAGATAGAACATGGCTGATGTCCGCGGGAGCCAGGAACTTGGGGACGGTTTCAGATTTCCGTTATTCGCTGTTCGTTACAAGAGGCGGGGCTCAGCTTATATACCGCTAGCCACGCGACACACGCCACCGACATCCTCCGCCCAAATACAAGAATACGGCCCACAGCCATGGCCCTAACATTGAGTGCATAGAAAAAACTATATACTTAAAAAAGCTAAAATAACTTATAATTTAGAATATTGGGAGTATTATTTAAACAAAATAGCTCGCACTTTATCATACAAGGTCTAAATCACTTTCATAAAAATATAAGTTCTGTTTTCTCTTAAATCAAGCTATCTGTCGGTGTTTCAGATCACCGGCTCGTAAATTTCTAGTTTGCACGTCTAGCTCAAATGGTATGCTTGGAGGACACAAAGATTATACTGGTTCGGACAGAACGTCCCTATGTCCAATCTGCTGATGCTCGTGTTACCGACACTGTCTATAGTATGGGTTACAGAAGGGCGAGAGAGGGAGCGGATCCCAGGTCTCTGGTGGAATGATTGAAAACTGCTGAGAGTTTGTTCAGCTACTCAGCCGTATGCTCGTGCCTATCTCCCTTGTGTTGTGTTGTGTTGTGTTGTGTTCCCCATTTTATAGAAGGGGAAGATGCAGATTACATCAGAAAAAGAGAAGAGAGAGAACGAGGTAGAAAATCAAGGAGAAGAAGCCCTCTAGGACCGCCGCTTCCTTCTTCTCCATCGTACGGGTCCCGCGCGACGCTGTAGATGGTGACGGGGACGGCTCCACGTCGGACTCCCGTTCACCACTGGTGCTATGCCTCGACATCATCGGTTGATCGTGGCGTTCCATCCCGTCCCGGCGGACGGCATGGTGAACCGACGTGTCTATCAGCGGCCGTACGGGGATTAGGCAACACAGCGCCTACGTACCCGTCACTGTTGGCAATGCGAACCCTCGGGCATGACCTATCGTGGCCGTGGGTCACGTCAAGGCATGTCCGCGCCCCTTCTGGTGTCAGAGGCTTGACCCAGTCCCACACGCTTGGACCCGTAGTGGTTGGGGTGGTACGGACCCCGTCGGACGAGGCGGAGCTCACGCCCGAGGGGTCGGGTGAGATGGCTCCTGTACCCTTGGGGTCGGGCGACACGAGGCCCGTGCCCGAGGGGTCTGGCGAGGCGAAAACCGTCCAGTAGCCCCCGAGCCTGTGGAGGAGTATGATACACCTTCGTAGGCTATTTTGGATGGAGGGACTTTGAGGGCTTCGATCTTCTGCTACCCGCGGGACGCCTTGTTGGGTTACAATCCCTTTCTGTTGTGATCGGACTTCTTTTGAGGGCGTAGCAGTGGGATTTGTTTGGGGACCGAAGAGGATTTTCCTTAATTCTGGCCCCTCTTAGGACCCGATCGATCCGTCGTTGTCACGGGACCGTGTATTCGGTATTTTCGTGAGTCCAATTCCCCCCGAGCCCCTGCATGTTGCGAGGGTCCGATCGAGGGGTCGCCTCATCTTGCAATCGTTCTCCCTCAAGCCTTTTTTGACAAAACGGAGGGGTTGAGCCGTGCTATATTTTCCTCGGTGTACGAACCATGGTGCTTGGTTAGCTGTTAATGGGCTGGTTCGCATGGGGCCCCGGCGTCCTGTTCGTCGGGGTTCGGCAAGGGTCAGCTGGTGACCGACTTTAGATTCCTGACGGCTAGTCCATATAGTTCTTGGATCCATTCGTTCGGTCCCAAGGGCTCGCTGTCTTTCTTCGAGGAAAAACCAGAGACAACGCGCTGTCCAGGACTCGAACGTGGGTCGGGATGCCCGTAGCCCTCGTGCGCTTGGGTATTTGCCGCTAGCGGGCCCATCCTTTTCCACCCCTCGCTCTAAAGGTGCTCTAGAGCGGTTGTGAACCCATCGGTGGGCCAACCTTCAAACTCGTGGGTCATAATGGGCCGTGGGAGCGTTTTTAGCCCTGGATTCCTTCCTTACCAGCGACGGTTCTTGGCCCATCTATCAGGCAAAATCATCACTTGGCGCGTCCTTCGAGGGAGCGGCCAGGGGTTGAGCCGGGCCAAGTTTTCCTCGGCGGACGTGGCGAGGCCGGGCGCAGCCACGACGTCGTTGGTGGAGATGGCGCAACTGGGGCCGTCGTCCGTGCAGACGGCTGCACCCGTGGTGGGGCGGACAGAGGAGGATGCACCAGTGCATCCTTGGTGAGCGTGATGGCGAGACAGGCTTCCTCATCCGCGTCACCCATCCCCTCTACTGCTGCGGGCCCATCCTGGAGGAGTTGCTGCCGCGAGAGGGACCGGAGCTAAGGCGTCCTAGCCTCTGGTCTGGGTCGGTGGCGACCCGCACGCCTAGGGAGGACCCTAGATCTGGTGGGTCGACCGGTGGAACCCGGGGGCGACGCTCTTCGCCCTCGACAATGCCATAGAGGAGAGGGAGTGGGGGCGCGTTCACTCGGGGGTTGGGATCGCGGTCAACGCCCTGACCATTACGCTAAACTCACTGTAGGACGTTGTCACGCTGGTTGGCCAGGTACGTCATGTCCGTGTCTCCGACCTTCGTCTATCTCCTTTGCACCTCTTAACTCATGTCCTCTCTGCAGTCTCTCATGGACTGCAGCCGAGAAAAGTCCCTGTTCCTTCATTGCGAGAAGGATGTTTGGGACCGCCTCACCGAAGAGAAGCGGCGGTGTGAAGAACTAGAAGCATAGCTCGCTGCCGCTCGTTGGGAGGTGGTTGAGCTCACCCCCATCCGCTAGGAGTTGGTCGATCTCCAGATCAAGGAAGCGAAGGCTCGCGTTGATGCCCATGAGGCTAGGGAGAAGCTCGTGGCCCTGCTTAAGAGGACACACGTGGACGAGGCGGAGGTTGAGTGGCTATAGAAGAAGCGAGACGACTACTCCAATCCATAGAGGAGTTTCGCACAGAGTGCAACCTGGCTCGTCATGAGCATGCCGATGCCTAGCAGCGGATCTGCCTCCTGGAGGGCGAGCTCCGAGGAGAAAAGGACCTGAAGGCTACAGCGAAAGCGGTGACTGCCAGACTCGCCACGGTGGCTAGTTAATGCTGGGAGCAGATCCGAACACGGAGGCCGAGGTGACCCAACGGCGTGGCGAGGCGCGTAAGCTCTAGGCTGACGTGGACAGTAATCCTCTAGTTTTGCCTTGTTGTCCTTTTCCCTAGAACCCGTGGTGAGTCCTTTAACGTGGTTGTAGTGTGACTTGGACATGACTTGATGGTAGGTTCGCGACGGAGGTGACAAAGAGCCACATCCTAGAGAAGAAGCTCGACAAGGTGAAGGCCACCCTTCTAAAGAAGAGCGAAGAGCACAATGCCTGCGTGTCGCCATCCAGCTGGTCTACAGCGACCTTGAGCTAGCCCCAACGCAGGAGATGAGCTCGCTCGTGGTTCACACCGCCCAGATCATGAAATGGGCGCACGACATTGCGAGGGGCATGCTCTGCTTTGGCGTCAATCGGTCATTCATGATCGTGCGCTCTCACTATGAGAACATAGATCTAACGACGATGAGCCAAGGCTTCGCGCCCGGCTACTCCAACGCCGAGCTAGAGGACATCGAGAAGGAGGTGGCCCCTCTGGCACAGGACTTATCTGCCAAGATAGAGGATGAGATCACCCCCCAAAAAATTAGTTAGTTAGATAAACGAAGTGGTGGTCTTGTAATAAATGAACAAGTTTTAGTTCTTTTGTGTTATCAAAAGGTTACTGCATTCCGACCCTTTTCTGTTGTTAAGGCTACAAAGCTTAAGGCGCGGGCAAAAGAACCCTGATCAC